GTGGTGGCCCTTGGGGACACCACTGTCACCGTGGTGGCCTTTGGGGACACCTCATTGTCCTGGTGGTGGCTCCTTGGGGACACCTCAATGTCACTGTGGTGACCCTTGGGGACACAGTGCCACCTATACGGATCCTTGGGGACATCACTGTCACTGTGGTGGCCTTTGGGGACACCTCATTGTCCTGGTGGTGGCCCTTGGGGACACCTCAGTGTCACCGTGGTGGCCCCTGAGGACACAGTGTCACCTCAATGGCTCCTTGGGGACATTTCATTGTCACCATGGTGGCCCTTGGAGACACCACTGTCACCGTGGTGGCTCCTTGGGGACACCTCATTGTCCTGGTGGTGGTTCCTTGGGGACACCTCAATGTCACTGTGGTGGCCCTTGGGGACATCACTGTCACCACAGTGACACTTGGGGACACGTTGTGCTGATGGTGGCTCCTTGGGGACATTTCATTGTCACCATGGTGACCCTTGGGGACAGCACCGTGTGCCCACAGTCTGTCCTGGTGTCACCTGGTGCCATTCTCGTGTCACCTGTCTGTCCTGGTGCCATCCTGGTGCCATCCTGGTGTCACCTGCTGCCATTTTGGTGTCACCTGGTGCCATCCCAGTGTCCCCTGTCCATCCCAGTGCCATCCTGGTGTCACCTGGCCATGTCCTGAGCCATCCTGGTGCCACCTGGTGCCATTTGGTGTCGCCTGGTGCCACCTTAGTACCATCCTGGTGCCACTTTGGTGTCACTTGTCCATCTCAGTGTCCCCTGGTGTCATTTCGGTGTCACCTGGCCATGTCCTGGGCCATCCTGGTGCCACCTGGTGCCATCTTGGCTCCAGTTTGGTGTCCCCTGGTGCCATTTGGTGTCACCTGGTGCCATCCTGCTGTCACCTGGTGCCATCCTGGGGTCCCCTGGTGCCATCTTGGTGCCATTCTGGTGTCACCTGTCCATCTCAGTGCCATCCTGGAGCCATTGTGGTGTCCCCTGGTGCCATCCCAGTGTCACCTGTCCATCTCAGTGCCATCCTGGTCCCACCTGGAGCCATCCTGTTGCCATCCTGGTGTCACCTGGTTTCATTTTGTGCCATTTGGTGCCATTTTGGTGTCCCCTGGTGACATCTTGGTGCCATTCTGGTGTCCCCTGTCCATCCCGATGTCCCCTGGTGCCATTTTGGTGCCACTTTGGTGTCACCTGGCCACGTCCTGGGCCACCCTGATGTCACCTGGTGCCATTCTAGTGCCATTCTGGTGTCACCTGTCCATCCCAGTGTCTCCTGGTGCCATCTTGGTGCCATCCTGGTGTCCCCTGGTGCCATCTTGGTGTCATTTCGGTGTCACCTGGCCATGTCCTGGGCCATCCTGGTGCCACCTGGTGCCATCCTGATGTCACCTGTCCATCCCAGTGCCGTCCTGGAGCCATCCTGGTGCCATCCTGGTGTCACCTGGTTCCATTTGGTGCCATTCTGGTGCCATCCTGGTGTCACCTGCTGCCATTTTGGTGTCACCTGGTGCCATCCCAGTGTCACCTGTCCATCTTGGTGCCATCCCAGTGTCACCTGGCCATGTCCTGAGCCATCCTGGTGCCACCTGGTGCCATCCTGGTGCCATTGTGGTGTCACCTGTCCATCTCAGTACCATCCTGGTGCCATTGTGGTGTCACCTGTCCATCTCAGTGCCATCCTGGTTCCATTTGGTGTCACCTGGTGCCATTGCAGTGTCACCTGTCCATCTCAGTGCCATCCTGGTGCCACCTGGTGCCATCCCAGTGTCCCCTATCCATCCCAGTGCCATCCTGGTGTCACCTGGCCATGTCCTGGGCCACCCTGGTGTCACCTGGTTCCATTTGGTGTCACCTGGTGCCATCTTAGTGCCATCCTGGTGCCATTTTGGTGTCACCTGTCCATCCCAGTGCCATCCTGGTGTCACCTGGTTCCATTTGGTGTCACCTGGCCATGTCCTGGGCCATCCTGATGTCACCTGGTGCCACCCCAGTGTCCCCTGGTGCCATCCCGGTGCCATCCTGGCTTCACCTGTCCATTGGGTGTCCCCAGGTGCCATCCTGGAGCCATTTCAGTGTCACCTGTCTGTCCTGGTGCCATCCTGGGGTCCCCTGGTGCCATCTTGGTGCCATTCTGGTGTCACCTGTCCATCTCAGTGCCATCCTGGAGCCATTGTGGTGTCACCTGGTGCCATCCCAGTGTCACCTGTCCATCTCAGTGCCATCCTGGTGCCACCTGGTGCCATCCCAGTGTCCCCTGGTGCCATCTTGGCTCCATTTCGGTGTCACCTGTCCATCTCAGTACCATCCTGGAGCCATTCTGGTGCCACCTGGTGTCACCTG